GATTAACATAAGAATAAAAATAAATAAATAAATAAAAATAAAAAATAAAAAAAGACTTCCTTTTCACTTAGAATTTTAAATTTACGTATCCAGAGAGTTCTATAATTGTATGTAGACATACGTTTTTATTTTATACCACTGTTGTACATATATAAAAAAAAGAACTGACATAAACTGGTTAAAGTACTCCCAAAACGTCTTCAGATGTGGAGCCCGACTCTTCTTCATCATTTTCTGACTCACTATCTATGAAGTCTGAGTTTTCCCTCACAAAGTTACCAACAGCACCAGAGATACAGCATTTCTCAAAAATACTTGACTACTGTCTCCAGGAATTTCATCTAAGGCGCTGACATCCACTCTGCAAATTCATTTCCTAAATTTGTCTCTTTCCTCAATCACATTGCATGTGACTAGAAGCAGCTTCTTTTCAAAGACATCAAGAAGGGTCTGACAAATTGATGTGGGACACACTAACAACAGTCTTTTGCAACATGTGAATCAGTCATCCTGTTATTACTTTGAAATTTCTTCTATTTATTCCAAGGGATTTAAACATTTCTCCTGCATTCAGTTGGTCATGTAACAGAAAATCCTTTGCACATAGTTCATTAACAAAATTATAACAAGTCTTCAGACTTGTGGGTATCTTTCTTTCCTATGTCCTGTAAATCACTTGATTGTTTTTCAAGAATGGAATTGCAGCATTCATCCAATGATGAATATTAACTTGCTAACATCAAACTTACACTCTGCTGCACTTTCTTCACACATTTTTCTTTTTTTCTCTCATTACTTTGTGGAAGGTATTTTACATGCCAAACCAATGTAATGCTAACAATGCATGTAACTCAAGTGAAATGACAGTCTGAAGAGCCATGATGCTCACAAACTGGTAAATACATCACGACCACAACTTGGTGGGTAGCAACTGTAAGACACCATTGATTATAATACACATCACAATTTCAGACATTAAAATGTAAAACAGAAAATGTTATGTCTTACAATCAATAAATCATTCACTAAGTGAAGGTCTAGTAGTAGCAGACTAGTGGTAAACCGCTGGCAGGAAATTTTTCTGAAAATGAGTGACAGACTCAATTCTTAAGGACTTTGATGGATAATTATAGGAATGACAAAGATACTCAAATAACTAAATACAAGAAAGGATTTGATTTAGATAACCTGCTATGGAATTCAGATACACTGTTACAGGAATTCACAGAAGAAGTAGAAAATACTTCCTGCTTAGTGGGAAGAATGAGAGAAAAAGAGATTAGAGGAAGGCTGAAAGGGGCCATCCAAGAACAAACCTAAGGGATGACTGGCAAAGCAATGTCTTAGAGGAGGTAGATGAATTTATCTTAAGAAATATGTCTCCTGGGGCGCCTGGGTGGCTCAGTTGTTGAGCATCTGCCTTCAGCTCAGGTCATGATCCCACGGTCCTGGGATCGAGTCCCGCATCGGGCTCCCTGCTCCACGGGAAGCCTGCTTCTCCCTCTCCCACTCCCCCTGCTTGTGTTCCCTCTCTCACTGTGTCTCTCTCTGTCAAATAAATAAATAAAATCTTTAAAAAAAAAAAAAAAAGAAATAATATGTCTCCTTTATAGCAGCATATTTTCAATAGCCAAGATATGGAAGCAGCCCAAGTGTCCGTCAATTGATGAATGGATAAAGAAGGGGTGTGTGTGTGTGTGTGTGTGTGTGTGTGTGTGTGTGTGTGTGTGATGGAATATTATTCAGCCATAAAGAAGAATGAAATCTTGCCATTTGCAACAATATGCAGTATGATGCTAAGTGAAATAACTCAGAAAAAGACAAATACCATATGATTTCACTCCTATATGGAACTGAAGAAACAAAACAAATGAACAAAGGAAAAAAAGAGACAAACCGAGAAACAGACTCATAACTATAGAGAACAAACTGATGGTTACAAGAAGGGAGGCAGGCCGGGGGAGGAATGAAACAGATGAAGAGGATTAACAGTACACTTAGCATGACGAGCACTAAGCAATGTATAGAATTGTATACTATACTGTACACCTGAAACTAATATAACACTGTATGTTAACTACACTGGAATTAAAAATGTAATAAAAAAATTTTTTTTTGAAGAAATGTCTTTTTCTCATTGACAGGAAAAATTTTTTAGAAACGTCTTAAGAAATACATCTTTCTGTTATGTTAAACAGGAAAGAAGAGATCAGAAATTACAAAAAAACCTTAGAAGGGAAAAGAAGAGCTGGAGGCAGGTCAGACTAGCTGGCCTTGGTGAACTGCAGACACGGCGTCCATCGACGGTGAGGAAACACACAGGCAACTGGTGTGGAAGAGGTGCCATGGGAAATGCAACAGAGAGTAACTAAGAAGACTATGCCTCACCAGTCAGCACCCAGCTTAGGCCGGATTAAATGAATTTTGAATGGAACTAATTAGCCCAGGCTCAGAGCTTTCTCAAGCAAAGTTCAGAACAGAAATAGGGAGGGAAGAAAAAAAAAAGAAAAAAAGATAACCTGTGGGATTTACTCTATGATACAGTTGAAGATTCAGAATGAAGGAGATGCAATGTCCAGCCAGAGTCCCAATTTTTGCAGCATTACTGAAGGAAATGTAACTGACTTCATCTTTATAAAAGTAGAATAAACACAGTTATCAAGATTCTCAAATCTATTACCTCAATTCATCTTTCCAACAGATCTGAAATATGATATTTTTCTATGTTTATATGCCAAGATGTCAAACAAACTCACCCTACTAACCAGCCTCTCACCACCAAATACATAAATACACATCTGCTGCCATGTATTTCCTCCTACAACTTCTCCCATTCTCCCACTTCAAGTTCAAACTCACCCTGGCATTCCCAGACATGCAGGCATTCTGGGACTATGGTTAAAAATGAACTCTTACTCCCCTGAACTCTGATTTTCCTCCATTTTTACCTTGCATTCCTCCACGACTTGTATTTAAAAATAAATACTGCCTACTGGACTTGCAGGAACAGGCTGATGTAGAGAAACCGGGCAGCAGTATCATGCCCTCAAACAAAACGGGACAACACGCAGGTCACTTACCCAACTTGAGATATGTTACTGACCTTGAAAACATTAGGGATGAGGTGAGATTTTCCCCTCCTAATACCCGACCCTGAATAATTTGTAACAGTTTCCCAAGAATCCTAGGAAAGCAGAGGGTCTTGGGGTATACTCCTCTTAAAAAAAATTTCTTAATTTGATGTTTCAGTTTAGACATAGTCTATTATTCTAGAGCACTGTTAATTTTTTAAATGAAGAAATATCAAAGACTAAATAATTTTTAAAACACATTCACATGCTGATGGTAGCATTTAAAATTGGTATAATTCACTCAGAAGGCAGCAACACCTACCATTATCAAAATAGTGTTAAAAATAATTTATTAGAGGGGCGCCTGGGTGGCTCAGTCATTAAGCGTCTGCCTTCAGCTCAGGTCATGATCCCAGGGTCCTGAGATTGAGCCCCACATCGGGCTCCCTGCTCAGCGGGAGGCCTGCTTCTCCCTCTCCCACTCCCCCTGCTAGTGTTCCCTCTCTCGCTGTGTCTCTCTCTGTCAAATAAATAAATAAAATCTTTTAAAAAAAAAAAATAATAATAATGATTTATTAGAAACAGAAGACTACATAGAGAGAGCTTTACCACAGTTTTAGGTGTGTAAATAGAACACTGGGAAAAATGTAGATATCTAACAGAAACTGAAGAATCTGGTCATTTATGGTACAGAACTAGAAGAGAATGCTGCACCCACTAAAAAACAGCTATAAAGATGAGGTAGAAACATGGGTACAAATGGTTTACGATATAAAATGAAATGCCAGAACACAAATTTATATACATATACATATATATACATATATTGTATACATATATACAACGATTTAACTCTATGTCATCTTTTAAAAATACGTCAACTTTCAAAAATCTTTTTTTTTTTTTTTTAGATTTTATTTATTTGTCAGAGAGAGAGAGGGAGACAGGGCACAAGCAGGGAGAGCGGCAGGCAGAGGGAGAAGTAGGCTTCCCTGCTGATCAAGTAGCCCAATGCGGGATTCAATCCCAGAACCCTGGGATCATGACCTGAGCTGAAGGCACACACTTAACCAACTGAGTCACCCAGGCATCCCTTAAAAATATCTTAAAAAATCATTTGGAAAAACCACTCGCTTCCAAATCTCTCATTTTTAAAGCGCATCCGTTCTTACTTGTTCAATTAAATTATTCTTTTTTGTTTTACTCTCCTATGCATTGTCTTTCTGGTCATTTCTATTTTCTAGTACAGCTGTCTTTATCTTCTTCACTGTCTTGACAAAAACATCACTGCCTATCATGCTCTCTTTTCCAACTCCAGGAAAAATATCCAGGGCCACTGTAATACTCTCCCACATGCTTCCCTGCTTGCTATCCGTGTGCAAGTTACAAAGCAGAAGAGGAGACTGAAGTGGAAGAACAATGAACTGCCTCAGGCCTCAAAGTTATTTTCTAATTATTTTTACCTATCTTAGCATGCGCAGGAAATAGAAATTTAAAATAATCAGGTAATACAGGTTTCTTACCTATTGAATGAGTCTGAATCTGATGAAGAGCGAGCTTCTTCTTGAATATCAGTACAGCTGGAAGAATCATCTGGTCTATCAGACTCCATTCTCCCTGGGAATTCCAGTTTTGACTGAGAGAAGTGGTTTGTTATGGGGGAAGTATCTGAGAATTTCATTTTTTTATCTTCCTGTTCTAAAAAGGAAAAAAGAAAGAAAAAAACATTCAAGCGTATCATAAAATCTATGACCTATGTTTATTATTTCTACAACATTTAATATTGTTATTTATACTTAGTAAAATGGAAGTTTATGTAACATTGATTCCAAAACTCTAGCAACAGTCAGAGAGTAAGAATCAACACTACCATGTGCCATCTAATTATACTGTCCGCCCCATGTATTTCCATTTTAATTAATTTAAAAACAAAATTTCCTGGGCACCTGAGTGGCTCAGTTGGTTAAGCGTCTGCCTTCGGTTCAGGTCATGATCTCAGGGTCCTGGGATCGAGCCCCGCCTCGTGCTACCAGCTCAGCAGAGAGTCTGCTTCTCCCTCTCCCTCCGCCTACCGCTCCCCTTGCTTGTGCTCTCGCTCACTCACTTTCTCAAATAAACAAATAAATCTTAAAAAAAATAATAATAAAAAATAAAAACAAAATTTCCTTTTAAAACCAGGAGTAGTGAACTGTGTAATTCTAATGAGGCTTCTATTTACAGTATTACTAAAGAATTCCTGCATATTTCACAGATCAGAGAAAACTGACAAACATATGAAGCACAACAAAAAAGGATTAAAAATTCAATTAATAAGAGAACCATGGGCTTGGGGCACCTGGGTGACTGTCGGTTGAGCGTCTGACTCTTGGTTTCAGCTCGGGTCATGATCTCATGGGTCCTGGGATCAAGCCCCGTGTTGGGCTCGTGCCCCTCCTCCCACTCTCGTGCTTGCTCTCTTTCTCTCTCTCTCTCAAATAAATAAATAAATTTAAAAAAAAAGAAAGAACTATATTTGTCACTGACTGCTACGTGGTAGTGAATCCATCTGGATATTTCTCTTAGTCCACTAAATAGAATCTAATATTCAATATGAAAAAGGAAAACTAATCAGACATAACTAGTATTTCTGTTTGATCTAATACATGTCATATTTCTATGTATTCCTTGTCGTATTCTGAATTTCTGAGGTTTCCTGCTGCAGATAAAAATAAGGGAAGCTGGAGGCATGCAGACAGTGTTTGCAAGAATGTGACATACAGGTATGACCAAAGATCTGCAAATACAAGTGCAGAAAATAATATCCATGAAGGATTCCTCAGTGCCCAAGACTCTCCCTCACGACCTGTTTCAGGACTCTGCTAGGATTTCAGCTGCACTGTCTTTAAGAGTCAGCAACTGGGTAAGTACTGAGCATGCACGCCACATGTGCTAAGAGTATAGAGCCCCCTTTCATGAGTTCCCTCACAGAGAAGCAGAGCTTTCACACATCACTCAGCCAGTGTGCGTGTACAGGAAAGTGACCTTCAACAAAAGACACTAAAAAAACTGTCAAGGCTTTGTCATAAAGAGAAATTTTATGGAAAAAGAATAAGATTCTTCAAAAAGAAACCTTTCCAAGTCCATACAGTCAAGACTTTTCCAGAAATAAGAAGTTTTTCTTATACTGAAGAAGAGCATCACAAAAGTGTAATTTCTATAAATAAGCTCTTGATGTTGTCGGGCTTTCAACAAGCCAAATCATTACCAGAACAAAACTGTACCCTCTAATGTTTATCTGGGAAAAGGAAAGAAGAAGCTAACCACAAAAACCATCCAGGACCTCGAAGATCTCTTGTAAACAGACACCCCAGATCACATTAAGAAGAATCAATCAGCCAGTAAACGCATGAACCTAGACAATTCAACACTCAGCTGGACAGGAGAATGCAATCAAGCTGACAAACCAGGGAGCAGGAATTCAACTTAAAACTATCTTTTATTTTTGCACCTGACTTACATTTTTTTCTTACTTCTTCCCCTCTTATATAAGGCTCTCCAAGATAAATTCCCTCTTGGGGATTAGTATCATTCAACAATTTGTGGGTATTAAAAGTCAGTTATCGGGGGGCGGAGCAAGATGGCAGAGGAGTAGGAGA